GGTACATTTCCGGAAAGTTTCCATGGGAAGTTAAGCTGGTGAATTTTGGAAATATTCGATGCAAAATTAAACAAAAAATTTAAATTTCAACAGATTTAAAAAAAAAAAAAAAAGTATAACAGAACAAGTTTTAATTATTTTATTGAACAATTATTTGTTTCATTGAAGAACGAAAACAGGAATGTTGAGTTAAATATTACTCATCCCCCCCAACCCCACTCATTAAAAAATGAACAAAAATGCACCCCCATCCAAAAATCCCCACAAAGTCCCATTCTAAATGTTAAATGAAAAGAGCCCTTCCATCCAACTCTGAGTCTCCCTCTTCAGTGTCACTGTCCAGCCTTGTTGAGGTTTGCCTGAATGCAAACCAGTTTGTGTGGTCTCAATAGCCATGCAGTAAGCAGTGTGCTATGGCATGGATATTCAAGTGTACTTGAATGGCATCTGTTTGTTTTAGTCAAGATTATGCTAAGATATACTTTCCCCGACTGTATTTAAGTTCCCTACGAAAAGCCAAGCTTCAATTTAGAAAATTCCCAGTTTATTCCCGTTAATTCCCATGGAAAGTTTCCATCTTTGAAAATTCCTGGAATTGTGCAACCCTAGTAGTGAGTGACACAAGGGGGGAAGTAAGTAAAAACTAACCTCACATTTGTCCAGCTAACATAGGAAACATAGGAAAAAGTGCCGATGTGGCAACAATGGCGGCGTACAGTTGCAGTGACTAAAGAGAATAACGCAGGACCTTTAAGCCGAGCCTTCTGGTCTGATATTCTCTGCCAGGCTCAGATCTGGCAACCCTCCCGTTTGGAGTGGAGCCGCAGTTCGAGGGGAAATTGGAACAAAAAACAAGGCTTCTCTGTGGTACACTGGTGTTATTATTTATTTTATTTACTTATCAAATTATTCAGAGGGAGGGCGGATGGACTTTGTAATCATCAAGGTCGTCTTCCTCTGGCTTTTTCTGGTTTTTAATCTGAGTGACAGCAATGGGGATGGTTCTCTTGTGCTTGAGTCTACAGTACATGTGCTTGTAAAAATACTTCCAAGATGACCAAAAATAGTTTTCTGCTCATTCTCAAAATATCTGTTACCTCATAACTTCTCTTTTAAGCATCTCAACAAAAGCCAAACCTCCGACTGCGCTGCTGAGGAATATAAATCATTCGACAGATCAGAGCTGCACACAAAGACACACTCTCTTCCCTTTGATGTGCTCAATCCTCTCTGCACAATATCAATCTGCTTGTTTGGTGATGAAAGGAATAATCATAATTTGATAGAACAGTTTCTGAAAGAGTTGATGGTGTTTGAGTCCAGTTGTAATTGTGTTGTTTGCTGTAGAGCACCTTGAGAATCCACTGAAAATAAATCATGGTGCTCTGGGTTAGAAAGACCAATTCATGATCCCAGAGTCACAGATCTCAGTTTTTCCAGAGACACATTATGTGAATTTGTCTGTTAACGTATATTCTGTGGATCATTGAAAAACATTGATAACACCACAAAAACTCCTGATCTTGACATGCCATACTTTTACTAGCTATACATTCTCTTTTGAGAATGATGTACTAAGCAAGAGCTGCTTTAACCCTTAGATGCCCGAGTGACTGGACCCTACACTCTTCCATAAGTGGGTCAAAAAGGACCCGTATTAGAATATGTGTTTTTATGCCATTTTTGTCATTTTGGTTAAGAAAATCACCTGTATAATATTTAGTATTATATTTTGGTTCACACTAGAAATATTTTATATTTAATTTTCCAATATAATTTTTGAAAAATGAAAAGTCATTTTTGACCCACTTATGGAAGCTTGAGGTAGTAATACAAAAACTACAATTTCTTAAAATTTAAAATTAGAATGGCACGATATCCAAAACATGTTTTTTGAGGAATAGCTGGAATATGAAATGATGAAAAAATGTAATTACAAAGATGTTGTGGAAATAATTATCATAAGACGCCAATTAGTAACATACAGGACAAACCTCGATGTCTGTTTACCTTCTTTAAGGACACAGGCGGCTTAGCCAATAATGTTATTGTTCCCATTCTGTGACCGGTCAATACTGGGATACAGATGGTCTGTGTTGTGGGTACACTGGGACACTTCCTTCTCTGTATTTGTGGACTCCAAGGTGAAATCTTCGAGGTCATAAGTGTCCGAGGCAAGTAGCTCTGTGTTCCCACACTGTTTAGGCTATCTCCTCAAAATATGTTGTTTACTCTCTGCGAAACCAGTTAGATGGGCTGGCAAGAGAGAGGCTCTCCAGAATTGACGTGGCAACTCTACCGTGGAGTCAGAACCTCTGACTCTTGGATTTGTGATGTGAATACTCTGGTACCAACTCCAAATAAATCACAGTGGTTTGACATCAAAGCTCCGACTCTTCCCGTGTCTCCTTCCTGAGTCGGTGACTCCACTGCATGCTACACAGAAGTTTCCTCTACAAAAGATACTTCAAGAAAACCACCTCACCGGGTCAAAAAAGACCCACTTATGCATCTAAGGGTTAAGATAATGAAGCTTATTTGAAGAAATCTTATTTTTATTTCAATATTTTCAAAGTCTAATTATCTCTGCAATGGCTTATCCTCATTATTGTTTCAAGTCTCAACACAAATCCCATGTTTTAAGATGGATGTTTTCAACAGTGTACTTGCATGGTTTGATAGAGGCCAGACTGAAATACCTCAATAGCTGTTGGTTGATTGCAATAAATTGTTGTACAGGCCATAAATGGTTCAGTCAGTCATGGTCCCCAGACGATGAAGCATATCTAAGTTGTTGAGTTTCCTGTGGGGACACTAGCAGGAGGACATTTGTGTTTTCTCTGATGTCTGAACCATAGACTGTATTTATAGTAAGAACAACTGTTGGACAGATTGCTATTAAATGTGATTCAGGGACTCATAATGGATTGGACTTCAGCTCTACTTTGTGTTAAGTGTCAGTGAGTAAATGTCTGCATGCCAACCAGCTAAACTAAGGTGATGAAGGAGGTACATTAAACCTTCCTTGTGAGCCATGCAGGTATATTAACATTTGGCTCCATGCACTGCTGTGCTTCAGAATACCCTCACAGAGCCGCCGTGTCTTGTTATTTATTGACATTGGTCACTTTAAATTCATGGCTTTCTGTATCAATGTACATGGCCCTGACCACAGATCTCATATTCCTTGTAATCGTACAAATGGGAGTCTTTAAAAAAAAAAAAAAATGGCTTGGTACCTTGCTCCTATAACTCAACTTAATAGAAAGAACACATCAATGTTAGAGTTTTGCCATAAGGTGTGTCAAATATTGATATTACTAACAGGAAATAGTACAAGGCAGGACTGTGTTCTATAAGACATACAGGGTATCCTAAATGTACTCCATCCTGTCATTTTCCTCTGTAAAGGTGTGACGTTTATAAAACACGGTTAGAATAAATACACAGAGAGCAATTGGCACACTAAACAAATTAGCAGCCCTCTAATTGGACCTTCACCTTTTGATGCCCTGTGAAGTGGGTCGTGTAGGATCTGTGCTGAATCACCAATCTGTCTGCTTTGTGGAAATTAAAATCCGCTGCTGTATATTTATAGGAAACAAAGAGCTCAGGGTCTGGTAAGTAAATGACAGCAGACGAATGTTCTGTGAATAAATGCCCACTCTCCTGACAGTCATGTCTGCTGAGATGAATGCCTGCTGGAAGCTGGTGTGAGGGTGTTTGGTACCTTAATGCGTCAGAGGAGATGCTATGAAGCAACACTAAACCTTTCCAGACCTTTAGCGAATTGTTGACGGTGCCTTGCATCTTGTGATTGATCTGTAGTCTTATTGATTTATTGTCTGTGGTGAAGAAGTGTGTGTGTGTGTGGCCTAGCATTACTATACTTATGGGGACCTAAATCTGTTTACACAGTCACGTGTGGGGACTCGCCTCCCTTATGGGGACAAATTGGAGGTCCCCATAAGGGGAATCATTAATTTTAGGGTGAAGACTTGGTTAGGATTAGGGTAAGGTTAAGGTTTAGGGTTAGGCATGTGTTGGTTAGGATAAGTCTCCAGGAAATGCATGTAAGTCAATGTAATGTCCCCTGAAGTGATGTATACATGGTATGTGTGTGTGTGTGTGTGTCATTTTATGGGTTTATAATCAAGGATCCTTCCAAACCACAACATTTACAAACCTATGCCATTTACAAATCTACTTGTATATAGTCTGTACTGTAGTTTGGTGCAGAAATACAACATTGTAAACATGAAAACATCGTGTGTGTGTGTGTGTGTGTGTGTGTGTGTGTGTGTGTGTGTGTGTGTGTGTGTGTGTGTGTGTGTGTGTGTGGTGTGTGTGTGTGTGTGTGTGGTGTGTGTGTGTGTGTGTGTGTGTGTGTGTGTGTGTGTGTGTGTGTGGTGTGTGTGTGTGTGTGTGTGGTGTGTGTGTGTGTGTGTGTGTGTGTGTGTGTGTGTGTGTGTGTGTGTGTGTGTGTGTGTGTGTGTGTGTGTGTGTGTGTGTGTGTGTGTGTGGTGTGTGTGTGTGTGTGTGTGTGTGTGTGTGTGTGTGTAGTGTGTGTGTGTGTGTGTGTGGTGGTGTGTGTGTGTGTGTGTGTGTGTGTAGTGTGTGTGTGTGTGTGTGTGTGTGTGTGTGTGTGTGTGTGTGTGTGTGTGTGTGTGTGTGTGTGTGTGTGTGTGTGTGTGTGTGTGTGTGTGTGTGTGTGTGTGGTTGTGGTTGTGGGAGAAAGATACTGTCCCTTCTGACTGACATAAGAGGGGGGGGGACTGACGGAAGTGAAATTGCTTGGGAAAGCATGCGAGACAGCTCCCATCTCCTCTCCTTCCTCTCTTCGACTCCCTTGGCCTAGCCTCACTAGCCTCACTTGTTCAGCCATGTAGTGTGTGCTACTGCAAACATACCCCCTCTCTATTTAGTCTGTTCCCCAGGGGTAGCTGTAGATATTTAATGGAGGGGAGTGAATCAACTTTATTTTCTCTGTGTGTTTGCAGCCATGCATCAAGCCCTGGACACACTGAGTGACAGCACCAGCTCCACAACGGCCAACGACCTGGACCTCATCTTCCTCAAAGGCATCATGGAGAGCCCAGTGGTGAGAACAGATTGATACTGTACATGTGTTCATATGTAGAGGGATGGACAGGCTAGTGGATGAGACAATGAGAAATGTCTATAATGCATCCAAACAGAATTACCTACCACCAACACAGGATAGTTAGACTCAGTATATGCTCACATTTCCAATATAAATATATTGTGTCAAATTTAAAAATGTTTTTCTGTGTTTTGCCCTACCATTAAAAAGGTGCATGGTTTATGAGAAGTTGTATGAATGTCCTGCAAAACTTAAAAAACACCTATTATCACAACAATTCAAATTGCTTTTAGTAAAGTTTTCATAGCAGTTTGATGCGTCTGAAATAGGATGTTTGGTTAAAAATCAAACATACCAAGGGTTTCTATTCTATTTGGGACGAAGGAGGCCAAATGGTTGCCACCAATGATTGCCTGCCCCCTCCTCAGCCCCAGTGACAGAAAAGATGGATGCCGGAGGGACATGTATTAAAGGCGCAGCAAAGAGAGGCCAGATAATGCATACTTCTGTAACTGCTTTTTTAAAAAAATTTTATACTTTTATTGTCATTACACAGCAGGCCTACTTACTATGTAACAAAATGGTTTCTCTGCATTCGACCCATCCTAGTGTTAGGAGCTTAGTGCTGATAATGATTCAAGCTTTATTTGTTCTTAGGCTATGTATAATGCCACAGGTTGGATGTAGTTCTTTGAATGGTACATTGAATATGCTCCTGTACAGAGTTGGGATCGCTCAGCATTTATTCTGATGCACAAATACTTACTTGGCATGTAACAATATTTGATGGAGAAACTCAGGGAAGGTTCTAGGGACTCTTAACATCTCCACTGTTTCTGAGCCGTCAGTCATTTTTAACAAGACAACATTTCCATCGCCAATCAAAGCAGAAGACTGAAATAGCAGTCAGTGAACAGCTCGGTATCTCGCAGGTTGACGCGAGCAGGTGCAGCATCAGGCTCCGGATCAATGGAGAATCCAGGAATGAATGGCAGCCATTAGGTTTTACAATTATTATAATAAATGTATTACATTATTATACAGAATAAGAAATGACTCAGTAGCATATTGTCAATGCTGTTTTGTTTGAGATGTTACTTAAGAAAGACAATAAGTACAAGGTTAATTGGTACCACGGTGCACAATCATCTTGTATAGTGGCAGAGGATAATATCATTTGCTGCATCTTGTAAAACTCAAATACTTTCTTCTGAAGCACTTGTTTTACAACAGGATTAAAGGGCTTTCATGCTTTTTGTAGTAAAATCCACCTGGTATTTTTCGGGTTTTAACAGTGTAATGATCATTGAGTTGTCCAATATGTTCAAATACGTTGGGTACCTAAGATAAACCATGCTTGATTAGTCTTTTTTCTTACACCTAACACTTGTTTAAACTCCAGCTGATTCCCCAAACACACCGCAAAAGTTCTGCTTTCTCCGGTATAGAAGCCACCCCACTGCTCCCCAGAACTTCAATTTCAGATAACTTTTAAACGTGTGGACTTTTTCAAAAGGAAAAAAAAGTAGAGATGCAGTTCACGTCGTGTACTGAAATTCATTCTGTACCTTTTTCCTTTATGCCGTCTACTGTCATTAGTATGGATTACTGCATCTGTCTTTGAACAGTCAGCGTTAGCCGAGTTGTGCTGGAAGCTGCTCATGGTCTCTCTGTCCTGGGAGATGTATTGGTCTGCAGGGCTCAGACTGAGAAAGAGCCAGAGGTAAAACTTCATAGACTTATTTAGCAGTTTAGAGGCAGGTCTGCTCTGGAAGTTTGAGGATGGACGATCCACAGGAAGCTGTGTAGTGAATACTGCAACCAAAGCCTACCATTTCGCTAAAGCACAGCCACCTCTGCTCCTTTTAAACCTTCTTCACTATCTTTTAAAAGTTTTTTTTACCTAAAGGGGCCATATTATGCTCATTTTCAGGTTCATATTTGTTTCTCTATTGTTACATGTCTCCATGCTTTAATGTTCAAAAAGCTCTTTATTTTTCTCATACTGCCTGTGCTGCAGCACCCAGTCTGCTCTGATTGGTTAGCTGGCTGGCTCTGTTGTGATTGATTGGTCAACCGCTTAGAGATGTCCCGCCCCTTTCTCTATCTCGTAGCGCTAGCGATTAGAAGAGCAAGTGTTATAGTGATGTCACTATGTTATTGAAGAAAAAAGGAGTAGATTGGAGTCATGGGGGGGGGGGGGGTGTGTGGGAGAGAAACTATTGACATACACCAAAGCCTATTACACACTACATGAAAGGGAGACCCCCAAAAAGCATAATAGAGCCCCTTTAAAGTCTGATTGCCTTCCTGTATGTGTGCCTGCGTCGTCTGAGAGCATGACTCGTATTGCATTGTTTGTCTGAGACGGTTCTTGGCGGTACCAGTTTATTGATGAGAATTCCCATAAACGATGAATCTGCTGATGCAAGCGATGCGTAAAGACGCCTTGCTCAAGGATGATTTCCAAGATGACCCCACGCTAGATCTACAAACGCTTAATGTGTCGATAGTGGAACACACTAGCAGAGGGACGTAGCATGCTTGTGTGCATATGGCTCAGGGACTTGAGTGAATTGTCCTGATTGCACCACGCTCACTACAGAATGATGCAATCAGCCCAGCCTGCAATTCCATAATGAATGTGAATGATGATTAGCTCCACAATGAGCAGATATTGACAACAGCAGCTATCATCATGCAAAAGAGTGCTCCATTATTGTCAGTTATGACTGTGGCGCTGCCTCGATGCTTGGCTCTAACCATCAGGTCTGTTGAGACATTAATGAGCGCCGAATGACTCGCTTCTCTTAGACATTTGGTTTTGTTATTCCAAGCAATCATAACTCTCCTGTTCAGACTGTAAATGACACTCCAAGGTCTTTGTGAACAGGGCCATGTGTCCTCCAAAACAATTGTTCTGCTTTATACAGAACAGCTTGTGCAAAACATTACAAAAAAATGTAAGCAGGGTCGTAACAAAATGAGATTTTCATGGTACAATAACATTATCAAGATATCACGTTATATTGTTGAATTATTATTATTTTTACTCCTATTATTTATTTAATTACATTAAATGAAAACAGAACTGTAATTATATACAGAATCATAATTATGGTGAAAAATAGCACGCAACTAAAATATGTTAAGGTGAGTTTATACTATAATCAAGCATCTATTTAACTTTGCAGATACAACAATTAAATAATGTCCTAAGTTTGGTAACTAAATATGCTGCAAGTGCTCCTGTCTGTAGATTTTTAACTCACTTACACACTCGGTTATGTCAGTATTTCTTAAATATTTGAAATAAGCAGATGTACACGGGTCATACTTGAAACACTGAACATAAAATAGGCCTACAACTCTTCTTCTTACCCTCCTTGTTTTTTTCACAGTAGGACATAAAGGTCATGAAATCAGAAGAACGACTGTCCACCTCTGGAAACCGATGAATGTATTCTGATTAACTTTAACTTTATCAGCCACCGTCGATGACCTTTTGTAACACCATTAATCGAGTAACAGTGGAAGCCACTGAGCTAAAGTGTTACATTTTCTCCTTTCACAAGAGAAGGCTAACTAAACCATCAAAGTGTCTCATGGAGATGCAGAATACAATCTTCACTCTGCTTTGTCATTTCCCTTTTGCCTTGAGGACAGCCGTGCTCATTGGCCTTTTATAGCTGTAACGTCTAGGTGGGGAGGAGGAAGATTAGCAGTGTCTGGTAATGAGACTTTTGAAAGCAACACATTTCAGTACTTGGCAGAGTAATTCAATGATGGTGTATATTAACAACCTGAAAGGCTATAATGCACAATACAAAGGGACGGTATGAAAACATGCTCATGTTCTTGACGTAGATAGTAATTTCATCGCTTTGAGTAATACAAACTAATTTAAAGGTCACCTATTATGCAAAATCCACTTGTTCATGTCTCTTCTACATCACCATGTGTCCCCTCTGTGGAAAGAGACTCTGAAAGTTTGAGGCAAAAAGATTCTCTCTCTTTTTGTCCTGATCCATTTATATAAAAACCTGTCTGAAAACGAGCTGATCAGATTTTGGCCACTTAATGATGTCATAACGATTTTTTGGCTTGTGTAACCATTAGCCAATCAGCAACCAAGGTAACCCCGCCCCCCCTAATCACCTGAATCTCCTCCTAGAGCACCATTGTGTTCTTTGTAACCAAATGTCTCTCAGAGGGGCGTGGGGAGGGGCTCCTTATTTACATCTAAAGTAACAGACAGAGAATCAGCACTTTTGAAACGGGGCTGAAACAGAGGGGATTATGGGTAATGCTGCAATGATCTGTTTGGTGTTTGGAGCCAAACACTTCAGAGACAGGTTTGTATAGATCTGAGACCTATAATATATTGATGAAAAACAGTGTAATAGGGGACCTTTAAAGTAATGTCAAAACCGACACATGCCTATGAAATGTTGCTCTCACAACGGTGTAATCACATAACATAGCTTCCATGCTGGCATGTTGTTGGAAGGCCAGACTCTGACTGCTCGCTCCATCAGGTTACAAAGAATTCTGCCAAAACTCAAAATGAGCTAAAGTCCCTCTGCTGCACCACTGAATCACAGCCTTTTAACTTTGTATGTGTGCTGTGCCTGTGGCCTCGTGCGTGCAGAGTGTGTGAACTACATTGCATGGGATGATTTGTGTGTACATGCAGGCTTTACTGAATATATATGTGTGTGTATCTGTGCACCAAATCCTGTCTCTCAGCGGGGATTCCTCCTCTCTTCCTCAGCAAACAAACACCGCCGCTGCCATGGTACCTGATCCCACCAGACAAATCCTCCCTGGGATTGTCTGACACCGTGAATGCTCAGAAACAAGATTGCTTGTTGTATCGTTGCAAGTAGTGCTACTGTAAACTATGGAAAAACAGCTGTATGTAATTGGCATTTTTTCTTATTGGTTGTTCATTACTGTACATTTTAGAACAGAAATCATTTAGTACTTTGCCGTATTTACCCGTAGTTCGTCACCCAATCTTATAACAGGATCATATCCCAAAACAAAAAGCCAGCCCATGATACAAACTGCTCCAAAATGCAGCAGATGGGGAAAGGATAAAGTCGTACATTTTTTATATGCGACCTCGCACCAGAGATGTTGAAGCCATATCCAATAATAGACACCCGTGTCCGTGGCAGCAGAGAAGGAGAAAGTGAAATATTGATGTTTCACAGCGAACACATGGAAGAAGCCTACATGACGCTAGATTCGACTCAAGTTTGTTTTCTGTCTTACTGTATCTTGCATTGAGGATTTATGAGCGCAGTGTTGCTCTCAGCGGGGGATGGGGGGGGGGGCAATTCAGGTCTCTGTTTCTGTGTTAACGTGCCCTTTTCTGTGTTAATGAATCAAAGAAAAAAAGCCCCGCAGAGGTCGGAAAACATTTCATTATAGCTCAGCAAGGTGCATCCACTGCTCACTGAGAAGCTACACTAATGGAGTTTGATGTTATTGATGCTTCTCCTGAAAGAATGGTAAAGGTAATCAGGTAATCCAAAGGTGTCATTTACACTGGGAACCAAGGGGACATAATCCCAACACAGATAACGAGAACGCTTTAAGGATGGTTTATTTTCACAATAACACAGCAGACGATGTAAATATAGAAAAACACATTTGCATTGTAACATAAGCTTTAAAGGGAAAACAAAGCCTACTGATTCTAAAATGACTCAAAAGTGCACCGTTAACTTAGTTTAAAGAAGCCCTATTATGCTTTTGGGGGTTTCCTTTTCCTGTAGTGTGTTATATAGGTTTATATAAATGCTCTGCAAAGGCTAACATAAGGCTATGGATGACTGTAAATGACAATTTGTTTGCATTGTTGAATCTGTAATAGCTCTTTTGATGCACATAATTATCAATCTCATACTAATACATCTATTATAAATCCTAAAATCCCATGTGGACGATCGTTCCAAAAACATATACATACATTTTTTTATCTGAGCCCTCATGGTCTGACCACTTTTCAACACAAAGTGACCCCCTTGAACCCTAGCCCTGAAGGTATACTCCTAATAATCCCATCTAGTTTTTATTCATTAAATCCCAGGCCCATGAGCAGTTTGAGGAACCCAAGCTGGAGGCTGTGAGGGAGAACAACGTGGAGCTGGTGCAGGACATCCTGAACGAGCTGAACCCGCTCACAGACAGCAGCCAGGCGGTGGACGAGCTGGTCCGCATCCTGAAGGAGCCTCACTTCCAGGTCTGTCCTCCAGCAGCACATGGCAGCTTTCATTAACAGGCACTCAGCCCTCAAGCCTTTGATTACTGCTGCTCGTGCTTAATGATGCATGTGGTGCTAGCATGGATTAGACTGGTTCGGATGATGCGTCACAATAACTCAGAGCAAGAATACATGATTTGTGTTTCATAGCATTATTTTATTCTATTTCTCAACGTCATCATCTGTAGGGCTGCACGATTCGGAAGAAATAACTTCTGATTATTACTTGTGATTATTTTTGACTATATATCCACAATACTGGAGGGATTAATCATTTTGGATCATTATACTCATTATTTTCTATTATCATCAATATGTGTAGGCCGGGTTATCTCTGCAGCTCCACATTACTTCATTCTAAATGGTATTTTATTTCATATTAGGCTTTTAACAATTGTTGTGCTTGCTGCGATTTGAATATTGCACTATCCATTTATGTGTTTTCAAGAAAATCCCATCCATTTCGCCGCCCTTATCCCCTGTGTTTATTCTCCCCTGCTGTTCTGCACACAGTCCCTCCTTGAGACCCATGATTCTGTGGCGTCCAAAAACTACGAGACCCCCCCCTCCAGCCCCTGCTCCTTCATGGACGCAGAGCTCAACAACCAGCCCGTTCCCCCAGACGCCGTCCGGATGGTGGGCATCAGAAAAGTGTCTGGCGAGCACCTGGTGAGTCTGCAACCCATTTGAATCAGAGGCAGGAGAGAGGCTTCCTGTAAAATGTGAACAGATACAACTCATGATTTGTGTTTTTTGGAGCAGCATATGCACTCAGTTTAATGAGATGTTTTTGTAGCTTTGTTAAGAAGAGAAACAAGTCAGATTTATACGGCTTTTTAGCACACAACATGGGGATTGATCTGAAGCATCTTGACATCATAAAGGAATCAGTGATAACTCGGCCAGGTGCTCTCTTGTCTCACTTTCTCATCATAAACTCTCCAACGCCAACTGTCTCTCAGAAGGTTCTGAAGTGTCATTTGCATGATACTTTACTTTACATTACATGTCACTTGCTTTCATCCAAAGCGACTTACATACTCAATACTGTGGGCAATCCCCAGAGGAGCAATTTGAGGTGAAGTGTCTCAGGGACACAACGACATGCTGACTGCAGTGGGGTTTATTTATTTATATATTTATTTGACAGGGACAGTGATTGACATTTCTGTAAATGCGGCAGAGTTAGCCAACAGGCTATTTTTCGTCTGTAGTCCCTGGACAGATGTTGAAAGTCATCCTAAAAACAAAAATTCACTTCAAATAACAGGTAAATACAATCAGTAAAACAACATTCAACAGAGATGCTTATTTTATGATAAAAGCATATATAAAAACAAAACTAAAATACATATTCACAAAGCAGACAGATAGCAACAGGTCAAGGCACATGTACAAACAGAGCGTTGTAAAGTGCAGATTGTGTCAGTGTTGACAGAGCTGACTTTCCACTAACCATGTTTTTAAGTCTGAACCTGTGCTCCCCTGATCCGAACACCTACACACAGACCACTGCGCCACAGCCTACCCCTTTACTTTATAAAGTAACTGATACCAAATTGTGTTAATACTGTGCAACACTGGAGCATAAATGGGACAAAACTGTCAGTAATATTCCTGTCAAACAAACCAACACACCCTGAAATATATCTTATTATGAATGTTACTAATGGAAGAGTTGGAACCGATTTTTGTAGCTGGCATCTGGTCACCATTACAGTAATTGATATATTAGCTTCACCACTTAGCCATGGCACTTCCTGCTTGTTGACAACCCTCAACTTCGCCGCCTCCTACGTGCCTTTTGAACTGCTGAGGAATGAAGGACATCGCAATACTGTTAACTCATTAAAAACTAAAAGCTGTACTGTGATTGTTCTCGAGAGTTGACCCACTTGTGTGTTGACCCGTTTGTATCTTGTTGGTCGAATGCACTTATTGTAAGTCGCTTTGGATAAAAGCGTCAGCTAAATGCAATGTTATGTAATGTGTGTGTAGGGAGTGACGTTTCGGGTGGAGAGCGGCGAGCTGGTGATTGCCAGGATCCTCCACGGCGGCATGATCGACCAGCAGGGTCTGCTCCACGTGGGTGACATCATCAAGGAGGTGAACGCCAAGGAGGTGGGCAATGACCCCAAAGTGCTGCAGGAGATGCTGAAGGAGGCGAGCGGCAGCGTGGTGCTGAAGATCCTGCCCAGCTACCAGGAGCCACACACACCCAGACAGGTCAGCACACATCAGGTCTAACGCATATCCTGCTGCATATGCACAGTTAGACTCCTGTTTTAACTCGAACAACCCACCCATAAAGATAGATCTTTATTTGTCATTGTACAGGTACAACGAAATTACAATAAACTCAAGTTGCCAACACGCAACAACAAGACAATATAAAAACAACAAGACAATATAAAAACAACAAGACACTATAAAAACAATAAATGGGACTTAAAAAAGACATGATAGATCAGTGTTTCTCAAACTTTTTCATACCAAGGACCACTTAACCAATAAAAAAACACTCGCGGACCACCTAACTCCAAAAATATCCCAAAACACATCGTTTTTCTAGAACAGATTAGAAATTGCCTGAAAATGTTACAAACAAGTGGCAACATGTGTGATGAAGGTGTTGCGCTGGGCTATATCATGCAATTGAAAGTGAAACTTAAGCTCGCTCCATTGCGGAGATATTCCCACGAGAGTGCGGAAAACTTTTATTTATTTATTTCAAATGTGAAATGTTACCAATATACTCACGGAACACTAGGGGGCGCTCACGGACCACCAGTGGTCCGCGGACCACACTTTGAGAAGCACCGTATAGGGAATATGTACATAAATAAATTATAAATAAATTAAATTGCACGATTGCACGGAAGGCTTATATAATTTAAATATTAGCAGCGTTTAGTGCACATATGGCCCTGGGGGGGGGGGGGGAGGAACTGAACTTGAGTCTGTTTGTCCGGGAAGACATGGTACGGAAGCGCCTGCCTCAGCGCAGCCGTACGAAGTGCTCGTTACCCGGGTGGTGTGGGTCCCATAAATACACATAATTGGAAGAAAAACTTTTGCAGTGTATAAGAAGTACTTGTGCTTCACAGAGGACATCACATCAAGAAATGTAAAAGGCAAGGCAATTCCAAGTGCTTTACAAAATATGAAAAAACCTTAAAAGCATTAAGATAAAGTGCAGCTGAAACGCTTTATAAAATGATATTTAAGTACATTCAAAGCGGTCTTTAAAAAGCCAGGAGAATGATAGAAAAATTAAACAAGCTATAATAGAATAAGACATGTATAAAATACAAGAATACAAGTCAGAGTGCAGTGTAGAATAATTCAACTAGAATGGCACTTAGGGAGCCCAGACCTGGTGCTTTTTCCAGAGTTAGGAAGTCTTTCTTTAAAATGTATTGTGTTTATGAGCTTTAAGTTTTAATTTGGAAACAATTGACGTTTAAGAAGATGTGTTGTATTGTATTGCTTGGAGACATAAAACAATATTGTTAACTGTTTGAAAGTGGGCTTTCACATGAATTGTGCGAGTCGGAATCACATTTTTTATTCCGACACCATAGGACACATGTTGCACACATTCCCTGTCTTGTAATGTTGCTGAAAGTTAACATGGTGTATCGGCAACATGATTTTGATCCCTCCAAAATCTTATGAGTTCTTCTGAGGTTGATTAAATTAGGCAATTTGTGTAACCATAATCCTGGTGACAGACAGAAAAGCTGAATAGAAAACCTCCTTGTCGACGGGTTATAAGACATATAGTTCCCTAAATATGAAAAATCAGTTTATGACAGGATGCATGTTGTTTGTATCCATTTTGTGATTGTTAAGAACAGTTACCACAACTATAGCTGTGTTTTAAAATGTCTTCCACATTAAATCTCAAGCTCTTTCAAAGTAAAACACCCTTGCTTTGATCAGCGATCCTTGAGTACATGATGTACAAAATGTTCTGATTAGTTTGAAAGGATACTGTCACTTCCATCAGTCAAGTGAGTGCCGCTCTCCGTCCCCCCTGGCTCTCTCCCTGCAGCCTGTAACCTTGCATGCTGTGCCAAGAATCATATATCTAATTCTATAGCGGGACCTTGTAGGTGACATTGGGTATTTTGCTTTGAAATCTGCTCTAGAGTTTTGTCACTTATTCAAATGTAGAGCAATTTTATGCTCATATATTATGAATGAAAAAGTTAAGCCTTCCAGATGAGAAAGGAAAAAGAGTGATCCCACAGACAGCTCGTGACGCTGGAGTCCTTGTACTTTTCATCATGTCCATGGTTGTAAAGTTCAAATTGTATTTTAGATTGTTTGAAATGAAATACTTTTTACAAGACATAGTTTTAAGACTGCTGAAAAAAATCACGATGTGTTTGTGACTCTCCTTGGGTTATGTTTGCTCGCTTAGCTTTTCTAAGAGCTGGAGGAGACACTGAAAATATGACCCAGTTTAGAGTGAGGTAAAGAAAAGGGTTATGTATCCTGGTGATGCCAATAGGATGGAAGGATGGAACATTTTAGGATGCAGTACATACAGCTAAAAGAAAATTGGGCTCAATCTCCGTGACTGATTTGTCTCAGCGGTAGGGAAGAGGAACACAAGAGCTTGAAGAAGCTGTGCCAAATGAATTCCTTACACTACACCAAAATATACTAGAACATTATTTACTAGAAAATGATGTGGAGAGGAGGATTATTATCCGCACAGACATGCATGAATTTGAAGCACATTATTGCTGTTGGGTGCAAAGAATCACTGGAACTCAATAAAAAGGATACAAGTTTATTTTCCATTGGATGAGATGAGCCACTGGGCATTCGGTCAGTCCACCACTTGGTCCAGACAGATTATCTCATCAACTATTAGATGTGTTTCAATGAGAATGTGTACAGACATCCACAATGCCCAGATGAGGACCTCTGACTGAAGTGATCACCTGACTTTTAGCTAGCTACTGTAGGGTGGCATTTGTGTTTTTGAGTGAAAATCTCTCGAAAAATATTGATTGGATTGCCATTACACTTTCTAAACACATTCAAGTGATCCACAGGAAGAATTGTAATTTTTTTTTGGCAGATTAACTACATTTTTAGGCTAACAGCCCAATGCTTTGGTTTATGACAACTACCTGGATCTAATGATATTTCCATTAGCCTCTGCTGTGCTTTGTATTCATTACTAGTTAGGAATTGTAAGCATCACTGGAGACAATCTGTCTTACTTGCATTAGCATTTAGCTCAAAGCCTGTCACACAGATGACTGTATAGTATACACCTTTGTATACACATGGCTAATTAGCTAATGTTATCATTGTCACTGGATATTCTGCCCACACTGCTTTAGCATTTACCTTAAACCACTCACAGAGGCTATGGCTGTATACATGTTTATACATATGGCTAATTAGCACATTTGAGCTCTGTCCCTGTAAACAGGATGCGATAATAGCATTAGCATTTAGCTTAAAGTACTTATAGAGGCTATGGCTGTATATTCTTGTTACATGATTCTTTTGGCTTCAAATTAGAGTTCAATATCAGAGAATTACCTCAGCCTCTAGGAACTGTGTAATATTCATTATGAAATGAAAACATGCAAACTATGCCAAAACTGGAATTGGCAGCTTTACAGATGACAGCAGCTATACAGTAGTTGTTCTTCTGTTCTGGTAAGACCAGTAGAAACTCTTGAGGAGCAGCCACACATGCTTTTATGTTAGAAAATGCCCTCACATTTCTTAGGGTCATCCACTGAAAAGAGTGTGTTTTGAGGCATGGCTCTTTGGAACATTTCTAAAGGTGCAGACTTTTCTGTAAGAACACATTCCTGCTGTCTTCTGAAGACCTTCACTTTGTAAAACCAGAGTGTAAGTGTTTGGGTATTGCCTTTTTTTCTATGGTCTCAGCTCCTGATATCAAAGTGCCCACTTGAGCCCCTAATTGTGGCCGTCCGTCAGAGATGATAAAGAATAAATTGGGTTTGCTCACACGGTAAAGTGCTGTAGGAGAACGTCGAACTGTGCCAAGAGCTGCAATGATTCGAGTTGTTTGCAAAAGTTCTGTGTGTCACGCCTCGAGCCCTGCCATCGCATGGTGACTAAACTCAACTGACAGCTCCCTTTGGCCTGTGTGTGTGTGTGTGTGTGTGTGTGTGTGTGTGTGTGTGTGTGTGTGTGTGTGTGTGTGGTGTGTGTGTGTGTGTGTGTGTGTGTGTGTGTGTGTGTGTGTGTGTGTGTGTGTGTGTGTGTGTGTGTGTGTGTGTGTGTGTGTGTGTGTGTGTGTGTGTGTGTGTGTGTGTGTGTGTGTGTGTGTGTGTGTGTGTGTGTGTGTGTGTGTGTGTGTGTGTGTGTGTGTGAAACTCATCCCCATGCAACAATACAATAAGCCACACACACATTACAGTAAGAGCTTGCAGCCTTGTTTCTATGTTCATGCATCAGTTCAGTACGAGGAAAGGCATCAAGTGCAATGGTGGGGGGGGATGGGATGGTTGCCATGGCTACAGATTTTGGCTCTCTTATTATTTCTATGTGTCAGTCAGACTCAAGGTGCGGTCAGTGGGGGCGATACAGGGTTTTGCTTTATGAGCTTAATCGTGAATCCTTGAGGTGTTGTGAAAGTGAGCCGAGAGATGAAGTGGGCTCAAACTGATCGAGGCTGTTTCAAAGTGATGGACACTTTACACGCCCAATGTGCCTACTGCATATCATGTTCTGCTTGTACACACCGAGGCAGCGGGGGAATACATCCCCAGCCTAAATGTGTATTTTTCAATCTGTTTTGACATCCATTATGGGGAATCTTTCTGACACCTTCCCTCCTTTCCCTGTCTTTATCCATTCAGGCCTTTGTAAAGTGTCACTTTGACTACGACCCATCCCATGATAACCTGATTCCCTGCAGGGAAGCGGGGCTCGGCTTCAACAGCGGAAACATTCTGCAGATTTTCAACCAGGAGGACCTGAACTGGTGGCAGGTGAGTAAAGCCAAGGATATTCAGCATTTTTCTGTGCATTTATTACCTCAGCTAAGACTAAAGGGTTTTATTCTTTTGCTTGTTCTGTGTGCTCTCGCAGGCCTGCCACATAGAAGGAGGCAGTGCAGGTCTCATCCCAAGCCAGCTGCTGGAGGAGAAAAGGAAAGCGTTTGTGAAGAGAGATCTGGAGCTCACTACCACAGGTACACCTCTCACGGCTCACAGCAGAGCAGAGGAGCTCCTCTCATTATGTAGATTCGACACAGACTCCTCGCCGCACTAACGCACCGGCAACAAAGACGGCATCTGTTCCTCTCCACATCATACACACATTTCATCTGGCGCCGGCTGCTCATCCAGCAAACCTAGTCTGTTTCTCCGTCAGTGAGCACTGGAGAGCTGGTAATGAGCTCCGGCGAGCTGGTAATGAGCTCCGGCGTGATTAAGGAGGCCTGATTCCAATCTGCTTGTTATTAAGCTGCAGGGTCCTACATTCACAAACAGCTCCTCCAGAGAAAGCACGCTGATTTAGGAGAGCTGATAAGACCCCCGTAAATACAAACCTGATCAATAATCATCTCTTCTCTTGAGAGATGTGCAGTGAAAAGAGCCTCTGGTCCTTAAGATCTATCTGATCTCAACAAAACAGGTGGTGAGTCACAGTCAGCAGCTCGGCCTTCAGGAAGATGACAGCAAACTGTGCTGCCCTTGGAGCGCGGGAAGGACACATCTGTCCGCTTTCCACACATCATACCTACTGGGGGCATGATTTGAATACATTTTTTTTGTTTTCTTGCAGGGTGAGGTCTGAAATTGTTGATCCAGAAGAAGAATACTTCATAATGTAGCACTCGAGGCTTGATGGGTTGAATTCTGACATGAGAATTATTACCTGAGCTCATGTTTGCTTCTATTTATGTCTCTATTCATAAGACATGCCTCCCCATGGGCTTAATCATTTTTCATATTGAACCGATGCTCTGTGGAGCCTGGTCACAGGTGTCCTCTGGCAGCAGACAGGTCGATCAATATTAGTGCACAGCGCCCTCTAGTGGGCTGTTAACTGAAATACACTTTGGATGTATTACCCTTTGGTGCTTTCTGACTTGATCGTTAATCATTTGGACTTTGTTAAAGTCGTTGGCTGAGACAAAAATGTGAGGTTTTATTGAGTTTTGTCTGTTTCTGTGTGTCTCAGGTCCTCTTTGTGCTGGAATGGGTGGAAAGAAGAAAAAAAAGATGATGTATTTGACTACCAAAAATGCAGGTATCGTACCTCACAATAACAACATCCCGGTCTATTTTTTTATGATATTCGTCCCCATAATTACTGTTTTCTGACTAGAATTCGATCGACACGAGCTGCGGATATATGAAGAGGTAGCCAAGGTCCCGCCCTTCAGGAGGAAGACTCTGGTTCTGATTGGTGCACAGGGGGTCGGACGTCGCAGTTTGAAAAACAAGCTGCTGGTGTCAGACCCCCAGCGGTACGGCACCACCATCCCCTGTGAGTGCAGCACACTGAACCACGTGATTAAAATAATGGGTCGTTTATTACCTTGCAATGTTTTATTTGATGTTGTTGTTGTGTGAATATTGTCATTTTATGTAATTTTTTAACTCAAGTTACTTTCTGTTTTTGTCATCTTGGTTTCTGTTATCTTAACGTATTAAGATGGAATGGTTTTTTAAACACATTTTATTTATTTTCCTCATATTTTTTTTATGTCTATTTTTGCACAATGCTTATGATCACTTTCTGACTTAAGGATTCAAGGTTTTTATTGTCATGTGTACATTAGCTACAGTGTAGTTATGACAATGAAAATCTTAGGTCACAGGCTCCACCAACAGTGCAACACAATAAAACAGATAAAATAGTGCAAGTAAATAAAATAGAATATAGTAGAAATAGTAACTCTTTTTCTCATCCTTCAGTCACCTGCAGAAAACCAAAGGTGGATGAGAGGGATGGCCAGATGTACTCCTTCATGACCCGCAGTGAGATGGAGGCCGACATCAAAAGTGGTCGTTTCCTGGAGCACGGCGAGTACGACGGGAATCTGTACGGCACGAAGATCAACTCCATACACGAGGTGATAGACACAGGAAAGATCTGCATCCTGGACGTCAACCCACAGGTAGCAGAATCCTGCTCTGCTTTCTATCAAGTGTTTGTCATGTTTGAATGTAAATGGCTTCAGTTTAAATTCTATATTCGAGACAATTTTGTTCGGCTCGTTGCTTCTGTAGTATTTTCAGGCTGAGCACCTTATTCATATTTATCAGAAAGATCTCTTAATGATTGGCTTCATGCACTGGAAAACACTCGGCTAATCTTATTTGCATACATTAGCTTGATAAATGTGTTGGATCAGGATGCTGCAGTTGCATTTTAATCACATTCTCTCTCAGCTTTATAATTGTGTGTCACAGCTTTTCCCTTGGCTTGCTGTGCAGTCATGCAGGGATTGTAAGATGTCTCACATCCGTTTTTTCTTTTCTTCGAAGGCTCTTAAAGTCCTGCGGACGGCAGAGTTCCTGCCCTATGTTGTCTTTATTGAAGCTCCGGATTTTGAGGTTCTCAAAGCTATGAATAAATCAGCAATTGAGTCAGGAGTGGTGACGAAACAGTTAACGGTGAGTTTGTGTTTTGGCCCTGAAAACCATTTTCAGGGTTTCACGTTTCATTCATCTTCTACCATGCACAATATGGTTGTGATGAATCACAGTTTGGAACAGTTTTATTAGTTTTTTAAGGTGGGACTATTGCCTTAACTTATTGATAAATAAGTATATTTACGGATATTTTCCATACGTTTTTCCATATTAATCAGTTACTTATTTAGTTACACATATCCAATAAAAGGGAAAAAAGGGGCTCTAAAAGTCAGGGGTTTTTTAAAGCCTGAAATAGACTGAAATTCATCATATGAAATCTCACTTTATTGGTAATGGGAATACCTAATGTGGTTGATTTACTCTGCAAAGCAAACCAAAAAGCTGCATTACTAACATTTAAATGACGTAAACTAGTTGGATTTATGTGCACCCAATTTTAAAGTGAACTCCGTCCAAGTAATAGCCTGCTCTTTGTTTTGTATTGTCACCTAATCGTCTCACTGTGTTTCTCCTACAGGACTCTGAGTTGAAGAGGACAGTGGACGAGAGCGAGCGCATCAAGCGGGCGTACGGACATTACTTTGACCTCTGCATCGTGAACGACGGCCTGGAGGCTGCGTTCAGGAGCCTGCGGTCTGCGCTGGAGAAACTGTACACGGAGCAGCAGTGGGTGCCTGTCAACTGGGTCTTCTGAACCAAGAGGTCACCATCAAGCCACAGGTCAAAGGTCAGAGGACGGTGAGGTAGCTCCAGAGGGGCCGTCTCCATGCAGTCGATTGGTGGCGGGGGTCCAAGCGTCATCGTTCAGTGCAAACGACCAGTAGAGCGTTTTTGTACAAAAGTTAGTGTTCCTCCGTTGAGGCTAATGTCAAGTTATACTTTTATTTGAAATCATTTTACTGATATTTGTCGAGAAGGATTTAGAGTTGATTAGGAGGTTTAGTGCAATAGTGTGAGTGAGCGTGTGTGTGTGTCTGTTATCATAAACGTGGAAATAGAGTTAGAGTAAAGAATATGTTTTGCAGATTAATCTACCGAAGGGTTTTTTCGTTGAAGGATATAAAACTTTCTAGCCTTTCCTACTTTATGTAGTGTACTGTTTACATTGGGTTGGTAGGACAGATTGGTGACGGAAACATACCAAATGTCATATTTATTATAGACCATTTGATGATACTGTATGATTGTATGTGTTCAGAAATGTGCTTTATATCGTTTGTCTCCACTAATTTGAAAAATGAACAGCAATAGATTCAAACTATAACATATATGTGCAATACATTTACACACAGACACTGATGTATACATAAACACACGTTGTGTTAAGATTGCAATCCTTTTATCTTTGAATGTTGATTACATTATACATTTGTTGTCCTATGCTGGTAAAGCGTCAGGTTTATTCGACAGAGAGACGACCCAGCAAATTGATTCTGTTGGAGTTTTATTTGTAGCACTAAGAACAACAAAAAATGTAAAAGTAGCCTACAGTATGCACTGATTGTATAATGAAGGCAAATATGTTACCTAACAATACAGGTTGGACAATTAATGGACGTTTTGTTTCTGTTATTTCTGATTTACATACAGTCAAATATTTACATACTTACTTTTGCCTTAACGTTGTTCAAAAGCCAAGGAAACACTCACTGTACATGTTCCTTCTTAGAGAATGGAGAAGAATAATACTGGCAATGCATTGAATATCTATTTTATTTCCCCTCAAACTTGTAAGTACTGTATTGTAATAAAGAGTATATAGTATAACATAGAGAGCCCCTCGGTGCTTTCATGGTTCTGCTGGTGTGTAGATGCAGTGGGACAGCTACACTAGTTTGATGTTCATATCAAAGTGTATTAAAATGGAGATGTTGAGAGGATTGCTTCACTGTCTACAGTTAATATCAATGCAAAGCTCAAAGCATTAAATAAGTGACATAGTATTTTTCAGCATACACAGAAACAACATAAGATAAGTCAGTGTTTGGTAAGTTAAAATGTAAAGCTTTTGGAGGCCTGGTGTTTCCTGTGTGGCTGCGGGGGCTGATGGTTGTTATGGATGCAGGTGTCCCGCGGGTGTCATCCAGTGATGAGGAGACGGCGTTATCGGATACATCTCATATGCAGGTGGAGAGTCATCGGACCAAATGCTGGTAATCTTGGGATCAAACTGCAAAAACATAAAGTGACATTTTATTATTTTAATGATCTGTTCCTACAATATCATTTTAAAATTGTCAGAGTTTTATACTTGATATTACAATTGTTTTTAGAAAATTATAAAAATGAATCTGAAGATCTAGATGACTAAACTTAAATAATCAAATATCTGATAGATGTAAAGATGGAGATGCTTGCCAACAAATGGGTTGGATTTTAAGAGATATAATTTAAATGTATCAACCATCATGATTCTGTGACTCTTCAGCATCCAGAGTCAAACTGCATAAAATGAAGCACAATCTCATTGGAACAACATTCTACTTAAAATGGTCTGTTTTTACACCTTGTATTTCTTGCTGAGAGTTAGATGTGAAGATGGATAGACTGAAGAAAACAAATAAGCATATTTCCAGAAAAAAATGAAACTTTTAACTTAATTGTTGATTATTTTAAGAGATTTAAATTGAATTACAATTGTTAATGTCATCCACACATGTCTATGAGTCAAACTGCACACACAGTAAAGCACACCCTGTTATTGTAGTAACAGAATTAAATTTAAATCAGTTTTATATTTCATGTTTTTAATTATTAAAATGAGTGGGAAGCTCTAGATTACTAATCTTAAACAAAATGAAACATTTTTTGGTGAAAAGCTAATAGTCATTTTGTGACATGCTTATTGGCTTTCTTGCTGACGGTAAGATATGAAGACACATACACTCAAGACTGTCAAACTATTCCTTTAAATGTTTATTATATGACTTTTCTATGACTCTTCTGTGTCCAAATACAGCCGGTGATTTTGTTAAAGTTGTCCAATATGTTGGTTATATTAATGACAGTAGTTTAAATCTTTGCAGTGACTTTAATGACGGGTTTACGCACCAGTGAGTATGGTGGGGGGAGATCCACAGTGCTGTACCGAGGAGGGAATCTGTCATATTGTGTTTCTTCTTCTGCCTGATCCTCAGACAAAGAAATCGTAGAGAGCCGGTTGTCATCATGTGGCGTCGGTACGGTGACGTCATACGCTGCTCTTTTCTTTTTTGCCTGCATATAGAAGCAGAGGAGAACCACAGCGATGGACACCACCAAGCCTGGGAATCTAGGAGCACATTTCCATCATTCAGAGACCTCAGAGGTATATCATCTGGACGATTTCATGTTTGCCTTTATTTGATTACTTACAAATATTGGAGGATATTCCCTACTGGAGCCATGGCTGGTGTTATGTCAACCTGCTGACATTGCTCTAAGGAAAAAACTAAATAATGATATGTAACATGGTCAACCATTGACAGTGTGACAACTAATTGAAATTAGAATAATGTAGACTGAATATGAATGCAAGTAGACGGTTACTAATTACAGTCATTCAAGTACTTTATGTACTTTTTTTTGAGTATTTCCATTTCCTGTTATTTTGACTTTTAATCCAATACATATTGAAAATAGTGTACTTCCTGATGAAGATAAAGAAGATAATGAGGATAATGAGGGTAAATAAGATAATGAAGATTACGTTACATCATGAGGGTAAATAAGATAATGAAGATTACATTACATCATGAGGGTAAATAAGATAATGAAGATTACGTTATGAGGGTAAATAAGATAATGAAGATTACGTTACATCATGAGGGTAAATAAGATAATGAAGATTACGTTACATCATGAGGGTAAATAAGATAATGAAGATTACGTCATGAGGGTAAATAAGATAATGAAGATTACATTACATCATGAGGGTAAATAAGATAATGAAGATGACGTTACATCATGAGGGTAAATAAGATAATGAAGATTACGTTATGAGGGTAAATAAGATAATGAAGATTACGTTATGAGGGTAAATAAGATAATGAAGATGACGTTACATCATGAGGGTAAATAAGATAATGAAGATTACGTCATGAGGGTAAATAAGATAATGAAGATTACGTTACATCATGAGGGTAAATAAGATAATGAAGATTACATTACATCATGAGGGTAAATAAGATAATGAAGATTACGTTATGAGGGTAAATAAGATAATGAAGATGATTAATTTAATTAGGATAAATTACATCATGAGGATAAATAAGATAATGAAGATAATATACTCCATTGTATTTACTTGCTATCTTAAGTTGAACAAAACATAATCAACAAATGTGACGTATCATTATAACATTGAGCCAATAAAATCCACAAGCTACTGGCATAAAAAAAATAGTGCAATTTTGATGCATTCATTCTATAATAATTCAATCATTTATTTTCTGAGAATGGTCAGCTGTGCAGAATAAGCGCTCTTACTTGATTGTAGGGGCTCTTACTTATTTTAACGCTGTAATTTTGCTCACTATACTTAAGAATAAGATCTGAGTCCAGCTGTTCAAACGTGTTAAATGTTCTATGATATGTTCTGGAGATGTGGACAAGCTTGGAAAACCTCTACAGTATCAGATTTATTTCAGTAAAAGAATAAAACAAGCTGTCTTCTCTGACCGGAAATGAAGTCTTTAGACGTGACACACACAAATCAACAAGTGGGTGTAGGCTCACAGGATATTATGATGTGTCAGCCTTCACATACTCAAGCCCACTAGTACGAGACTAACTGACCAATCACATGGTTGACTTGTGACCTATGACCCTGCAGTATTTCACTAACAATAACGCACTTTTAAACGCTTTCAAAACTCCTCAGCGTTGTACAAATAAACAAGCTTGAATCAAAACTATCTGAATGACCGGGATACTGTTCAACTTTATTGTCTGAGTTTAACAACCGACGGTGAACCTTCATCATATAAATCTGCTGCTCGTTACAACTGTTAGAGAAAATGACTATATTCAACTAATTCTAACATACTGTACGTTACCTTGATGACACATAATTAAAAGATAAATGGATTATTTTATTAGAATGGGATGAGTCCTTACCTTTTTTAAGATCCAAAACAAACAGAAAGTGTCCTGCCCTCAGGACTGTATCAAAGGATAATGTGTGTCACTTAGGGAAGTGCATGACCCGATGAGCTTTTACAGCATTATTGTTTGTTTTTTAAAGACACAGGACTTAGAGGTGTGCTCTGTGTCTTACACATCCTGCATGTTAAACAAAATCATTCACTCTCTATTTGCTGCAGCACAGCAACAACTATGGCGTTCCTCAGGGATCAATAATAAGACCACTCTTGTTCTACTTGCAGTATACAAACTTTGTCAAAAATAACCAAAACATTTCAATTGTATCCCTCCAAATAAACATGGCTTTCTGAACTAAAACTGATCTTATTTAGTATTTACTAATTTACAGATCTACTTTTAAAATGTTGGGTGGGGGGGTATATTTCAAGCATGATAAGACTTCAATTAATTGTATTCACAAATATAAATTACTTTATTTTGTAAATAACATACTGTATGTTAAACAGTTGGTAATATTCAAGCATGTAAACAAGTGCCTTAACTTAAATACTGAATCTCTTTTAGGTATGCATATTGTACATATGGCAGTGTTTAAACAAGGTTGAGTATGACACTTTAGTATTTAAAACAGTCAAACCCAGTCTCTCCTTTTCCACACAGTGGATTGCTTACAGGTAGATTAATCATATACACTTATGTCCCAAATGAAACTTATAACCACGTACAAGCACTAACGTTAGCAGTTACCTGTATGGGCTCAAATAAGGGTAAAAAAGATATTGTGAAATTCTGTTGTGCTTTTTGTTATGTAATAAGAGACATGTTAAGAATTACTGTGAGTTTAAACCCAGGCTTTTAAATTATGGCTCAAAGCACATAAATAAAAGGTACTTCAGGGCTGAAATTCTTCATTCATTCATTTTCTTTACAATTTTCCAAACAGACAGGTCTTGCAAAATCTTATTTACAACCACGTTTGGAAATAGTTTCTGCACATCATTTCACTCTGTCAAACTCTAAGTGACCCTTATTTGATTCCATAGGAATGTTATGTAAAAAAAAAAGGTACAGTTTGTTTAGAGTAGAGGATGTTTGAAGTGTATGAAGGATGAGGTGGAGGATCAGGGTCGCTCTGAGTAAGGTTGAAGATCTGAGTATGATGGAGGGGGGTCTGGATAGGATGGTGGTTCGAACTGGAAAGGAGAAAGAGTTATTCAATTACATAAATATTGCACTTTCTTTGCTGAGGATAAAATCTTTGAGAACATTTTTAAAGATAATTAGCAGAAAAAACCCTATATCAAAACCTACCCTGTATGGAGGAGGGCTGACATTTCTTGAGCAGTACATGGGAGGCTCTCTGTAAGGAGGTTGAAAATAAGCTTCATATACGTCCATCATTTCCTCGTCTTCCTCTCCCACCTGCTCCTCTTCATATATGGGGATCACGTACACAGAGGGAGAGTTAGCCGGCATCGTGGACAATCTTTCTGCTTCTCTGCGCTTCCTTACGAAATGGTAACAAAAAGCCCACAGTAGGATACCAGCGCACATCAAAGGGATCCTGAAATAAAAGACGGCTAAAGTATACATGCAGCAGGCATACAATGAGGTGTAGAGAAGGTCAAATTAATGTTTGAAATACTTACTCAATCACAGGGTAATAAAGGACCATGGCAGTTTTCTTTTTTTCTAAATCACACCTGAGAAAAAATGCACAAAAAGGCCTTTTTTTGAAGGTTATTCAAAGTACAGATCTTAAACCTGAAGATAGTAAATATCTAACCGTTTGTCATGTTATATAATGTTCAGTTTTGTAATACCGTCAGACAGTTCAAAGGTAGCTCTTTATTGCGTTGTATCCCTAAATAACACACCGACATAAACAGAATGTCTTTAAGGTAGATATAATTACTGTGAAAGTTTCACAATCCTGAAACGTATATACACCGCAGTAACACTGTAGGTTTTGATCTGACTCCCACACTTAGTCAATATAACACTATAGTTCAAAGATAAAACTGCACAGCATGTGTTGCTCTAATGGCATGTTGCTACATAAAAGATTGAATTTGAATGTATTAAAGCAAAAGAAAGCAGCAGTAAAAGATAGTGGCTAACATTTCCTTTTCATTTCTGATGAATATATAAAACAGGACCTTCTACAATGAGCCCGTTTCTCCAGTTTCAGGCCTTGCTGAGTCAATAAAAAAAGCACAGAAAAAGATTTATCCAATTTGGTTGAGCTGTCTGACTAAATTAATATGTTCCATTCAGTAAATAAAGCTTACCTTCAAGTACACGCCTTGCAGTGCAGGTTAAGTAGCGCGATGACTTGCAACAGACATTTTATAGCCTCCTTGACCTGTTTAAAGTAGCAGAACTCACCAGCCAGTGACGTAAAGAACTTATCATCTTTGACACTGTTCCTACTCCAATGACACTGAGGGGCCAAAGGGCGCTCTCTGTTAAAAGTGACTCTTAATCATTAGGAAACAATGTGATAAACACAATGAAGTAATAATGAAGGCGTGATGACATTATGGGGAAAAGACAAAATCCCCTGTTTCAGCTTGTGTCCTAGGAATGCAGTCAAGGTTTTGTTTAAACATGTCAGAGGAATCTGCACTGCAGCAGAATGTTTCACTTTGAAGGAGGATTCTCTGTCCCAGAACAATAATAATTTGAGGCTCACGCTGAGCCAGCTCAAGGTTACACCACTACACACACCCTAAAGAGGCCCTGTATGTCTCTACTGTGACATGTCTCCATGCTTTAATGTTCAAAAAGGTCTTTATTTTTCTCATACTGCCTGTGCTGCAGCACCTCTTTCACCCTCTGTCTGAAACCAGAGCCCAGTCTTCTCTGATTGGTTAGCTGGCCGCCTCTGTTGTGATTGGTCAACCAGCTTAGAGACGTCCCGCCCCTTGGCCTTTCACGTACAATGTGTTGGAGTGCTAGCCAATAGGAGTGTGAATGTTGCGTAGTGATGTCACTATGTTACAGAAGTAAATAAAGGAGTTCAATGGAGGGAACTTTGCGATTTTAGCCTTTACAGACCATATACATGCACACAAACCTAAATAACATATAACAGGAAAGGGAAAACCCCCAAAAAGTATAAAAGAACCTCTTGAAATGTTTTATTTAAGCTTATTTCTGATCCCACAATAATGCCTGAAAGAATTTCTCATGTTTGTACACACCCCAGCATGCCTGAGAGTTACACAAGAAGTTACTCCTTGAAGAATAAAAACATCCGATAATGTCTATTAGCGTAGGAGAGGAGGAGGAGGAGGAGGTGGAGGTGGCACAAACCCAGAGGTGCCAGTCTGAGAGGGTGGTGGTGGAGGAGGAAGAGGGGAACCTCCCAATACAGGAGGAGGTGGAGGAGGAGGTGGAGGAGGAGGAAGAGGAGAACCTCCCGATACAGGAGGAGGAGGCGGTGGCGGGTAGGCGTTGTTCGACGGAGAGATTGGCGGTGGAGGGGGAGGTGGGGGGAGACATGTGGGTGAGGTCAAGTTTGGCGGAGGAGGGGGGAGGCCTGTGTCCATTGAGGAAGGAGGTGGTGGTGGAGGAGGAGGAGGAGGAGCAGTCATACTGGGGTCCAGATTGGCAGGAGGAGGCGGAGGCAGGCTGTTGTCGGTGGGGTTGGAGACGTTTGGCCGGTTGGGGACTGATGGAGGGGGGACAGCGATGCCGTAACTGGACCTGCATTAAAAAACAGAATAAAACGTTTTTTTAAAAGAATAGTTCAACATTTTTCTTGTACAGATACAGAAAATATTAGATGTATTAATAAGAGAGCTTTAGATATGATGGTAGCTGTTTTTACTAGCCACGACTTGTGTGTGTGTGTGTGTGTGTGTGTGTGTGTGTGTGTGTGTGTGTGTGTGTGTGTGTGTGTGTGTGTGTGTGTGTGTGTGTGTGTGTGTGTGTGTGTGTGTGTGTGTGTGTGTGTGTGTGTGTGTGTGTGTGTGTGTGTGTGTGTGTGTGTGTGTGTGTGTGTGTGTGTGTGTGTGGATAGCATCAAATACCAAACAAGATGCAGTCACAAAACTTTAGAGATGTGTAGTTGAGATCCAAACAGATTGCAGATGGATGTGGTTTAAACAAGGGTGCTGTACAGTAAGTAGGGGAGTAGGAGGTAGGGAGTAGGAAAGGTGCCATTGGTCTCCCAACTATACGCCCTTGGTGGCTGGGGGGATCTCACCATAATATGTTTCTCTAGATGTTGGATCAGTTGGATGCAAGTATAAGAACTACACTTTTTTAGCTTGGATTTCTTGTCTCTAACTCCGTAGTCAGGGGGTTATTGTGCTCTAAATTCCACTCAAAAGCAAAACTCCATCGCATTGCAGACAGTGAAAATGAATTGGGGTTAGTGGACGAGGACTCATTTTATAGGGTTTAAAAAGCAGAAATGGCTGAAGCTAGTTCTGCATTAGCTGTGCAAGAGGATATAGTGGGCCTTGAGTAGTTTGCGGGCAATGCATCCTGGTACATGTAGGCCCTGCCAGTCAGTTCCATTAACAGGAGAACTCAGTTTTCTTTGTCAATATAGCACATACTTAGCAATGTATTGCCTATATTGATAACATGAATAATCAACACTGATTTGATAACATAACAAAAGGTTGTGAATGTTCCTTTTAAAATTCAGGCAGGAGAGTGGTAGTTATCTCCTCAGAAATGCACAGGAGTGTATTTTACAAAACTGTTTCTTTCGTCCATATTTCACTAACCTTTCCGACATGATCTTGAATTGTGCAGCTTATGTTATGCCTCTTTTATAATAATCAGTATGGGAGTGTTCATATTTTTAACAAAGTTGCTTTAAAAAGGTAAAAAATGGTTATACTCACACAGTGTAGTCTGCAGTGCTCTGTATGCTCTCTGTGGAGTCGGCTTTCTTAGGCTGCAGGGGGTACTGTGGGGAGAAGACGGATAAAGGTTAGAAAACAAAGGCATCTCTACACAATGAAAGGTTTTGAACTCAGTCAATTTATTTTCTTTCTCTTCCAATTTTACATCCGATATACCTCAAAGTAGTGTCCAGTGGAGTCCAAGATGGAGAACGATATTGGGACTCTGGAGTAACTTCTCTCCGGGTCCTTGCCTGCTGTCGGGGGGGCGATGAGCTTGGCTCGGGTTCTGTCTTTAGGAGTAGTGAAAGCACCAATCTCTCTCCTGGCTACCGACTCAAAGTGGATGGCTGCAGCCTGGAGAAGAGAGACACAAACGCTCTCAGAACACTTGTTCCTAGATAGCATATTGACCAGACTGACTTCAGATGTGAGCGATGACCTGCAAGTGGAGCAATACAGCAACTTGCACACTTTTTGCTTTTCCAAGTATACAACCAACATTAACACTGTAGAGATTTGTATTTAAGGTTTAATGTAGAGGCCGAAGGTCAAGCACTCCATTGTTCAGCAAAAGCAGTTCATTAAATTATGAAAATGAGGATACAAACCAGTATGAATACCACTTGTATTTACTTGTTTCATTCTGTTATTTCACCAAATAAGAAGCAGAATGCTGCACCTTTTATAGACTATACTTTAAAAAATGTTTTGCCAGCTATGGAAAGTAGTGTTTTCAGAAACATCATTGTTTTTATAAATATAGTTTCTCAATACAAAACAGTTGCAATACTTACAATACTGCCAAAACTATTTTGGTATAATGGTATCAATAATTGTAGTAAATATATATTTTTAGGAACTGTATTGAGGTTTTCCCTGCATTGTAACGACAATATGCAAAGGTCACATGACTCTATGGGAAAGCAGAGGTCAGATGAGCAGTGTTTCAGGTAGATGTGGTCCTCACCAGGGACAGCAGGTTGACGGAGGACTCCAGGTCTTTGATCTGCAGGTCCTGGGAGTCCAGCAACCGGAGCAGGGTGCTGCCCACACTGTTGATCTGGTACGCCACGCTGGCAAGAGCCTGAGCAGCCAGACCCATCGCTTCCTCAACCGCCTTCGATGTGTCCTCTGCCTGGACGGTTGTATTTATGGTTTTACAGTGGTGAAATGTAATGAAGTACATTTATCAAGCAATACTCTAATACAATTTTGCAGTATACTCTACCTGAGTGTTTGCATTGTATGGTATTCATAGTCCAATACACTTTGGAAGCCAATAATGTAGTTTTTACTCCATCTCTTTTACTTGACAGCTTAAGACTTAAGTTACTAGTTACTTTGCAGATCCAGATGATTAGCTAATACAAAATATTAATAAACTCATAAACCAAATTGAAATACATCAGAGATTAAAATATCCAATAGCACTATTTAAAGTGCTTCACTTTTACCAGTATTTTAATATATGATTCTTAAATTGGACATTAAGCTTTAAGAGTAATATCCCTTTTTACACATGAATTATTTTTAAATGCCAATACTTCTGTACTTTTACTACAGTACTTTTACGTGTAACAGAGTATTTTTCCAAGTACGTTTTTCTACTTTGACTCAAGTAATCGATCTGAATACCTCTGTAAAACACAAGTCCTAAACCTGGCACCAGTTGTGACTTTACCTGTTGTTGTTCACTGACCATTGGGCCCACTCACCTGGAGGAAGTTGCTCTCGCAGTAATCTGCGACGCGGTGGAGGTTACTGTGGTTATCAACCAGATTCCTCCTGGCAGTCGGCGCTTCTTGAAATATCTGGGTAATAACTTCAGAAAGCCTCTTTTGCTCCGTCATTTCTCCCATCGTCGCTGCTAACAAACCCTTTAAAAACAACTCCCCGCTGCTGCAGGAAGATGTGGAAGTGTGTCAGGGAGGAGGTCGGTGCTCGGGAAGGCGGAATCACCGCAGGGGAAACATTTCCACAGAAGCTGATCCCAGGGCAGGGCTCTGCTCCAGGTACACATCCACCCAAACTCATGAACAACACACATCTGTTTCTAAGGACACATCATGTACCGTTTTAATCGTTGTACCTGTTAACTATACAATAATATATTACAATATATATTTAAATCCAGGTGCGTATCAGAGCTGAGCCACCTGTGTTGTATTTATAACATCCACTAGAGGGCAGTGCAGTCTTATGTCAAGGCCTGTTGATTAGCCTGTTGTATGATAATACATGATAAGCAAGCTATCCCTTTGGGTCAACAACACACGGATAACAGTATCTACATAAGGAACGGTTTACTCACGCATAGTAAAGGTTAGCCTTATTTTCTTTTGTTACAAACACACACGGGACAGATTGATCATTAATCCTTTATTTTTAATAGTTGACTGAATGTTCATGATGATAATGTGTTGTGTTGATTAAGCTACTTGAAAGTAATTGTATTTAATTTGGTAAATTATTTCCTTTCTACATGATATTTAGAACAAACTGATCGATAAACATGCTTCTAAAAAAAGAAGTAGGGGGAGACCAGGGACAGTTGCAACACTTTTGGGGTTTTTCCCCAATAAGTAAAAAACCATTTACAATAGGATAGCCATTTTGCTATATTATACATTATCAATATGTCAGCTACTGAAACAATGTATTTAAGATGTTTTTATGAAATAAGTACAGGTTGGAAAATGTTTTTTCTTTTTTAAACTCAACTGTTACAACTGTCCTTGTGTACAGGGACAGTTGTAACACATGCCAGGCACGGTTGTAACATGTTAATAACGGTTACCTTTTTCACACTACATGACAACAAATAGGGAAAGCTGTCAAATTCTAAGGCAACAAGATTTGAATGGGGTTTCACACATCCTCCAATGAACAGGATAACAGATAACACACACAGCATCATCCTCTGTGAAGGATATTAAACTGTTCTCTGAGAGGTGCTTCTACCTTAATTATGTAGACCTGCCTCCTTTGAGCTGAGACCATAATATAAATCAGCTGCCTCCATCAGGTAGTCTCTCAAAAGCATCTCCTGCTCTGTTGAGAACACCTTCTTTGGCGTCCAGTAGCCTACTCTTGGGGGTGTTTGTGATCCCTGACTCTCCA